CCCCAAAACCCCAAAACCCCAAAACCCCGTATATTCATCTCATCAATTATTCTAGTAAATTGTTAAGTTAAATAAAGTGAATCACATTTATTAAGTTAGTCTACGAATGAGGCTCATATTCTTTGATAATCAGACTCGTAAAGAGGGCTTTTGGAAGTTCCAAGTGAAAAATTCTCGTCTATTTACTCTTGCAGCATTAAATTATTCTTGAGAGTGCCCTGTTTCCTAATAGCTAAATCGCTCTCTTATTTAGAGACAGCATGCTTTTGAGAGTCAGTAGTTATTTTCTGGGTCTTAGCTTCTTCTTAGGCTTATTCAGCATTAGCTGCACCCTAGTTAAACTCAAAAGAACTGCCAGATTCATCATCGCTTTATGATTTTATTGGACTCAAAGGCATTTTATTTTACCCAATGACTGTTGTTTTAGATTTCCTAAGACTTTTGGATTTGGCATCTTAAGCTAAGCTGTCCATTTTGGCATTAGATTATTTACGTTTCTATAAAATTGACATTAGAGTTGAATTACTTACAATTGTTCCACATCTTTACACAGTGTTCGACTTATCCATATCATCAATAATATTTTAGATTTTCTTAAGCACCAGCAAATTAGGCATATTCTTATGAATGATAAAGTTCTCTTGTAAGTTAGGATATGGTTCATCAGATATTCTCACTCCTATCTTTTGGATCTTCTAGAAGAAAATCTTAGACTCAATCACCTCAACCTATATGAAATCATTAATGATGATGGATCTTGGAAGTTTACTTACATCAACTAATCCCTTATCTTTAATTTTGACTTTCTGGATTTAAATGGAATCTGAAAATAGATCCTTAAGACTGGTATTGTTCTTAGCTTTAAGAGTGCCACTTAGACGATTTAGTATTCTCTTAGACTTATTATCGAGTGCCTACAACTTTTCTTCCTTAGCAACGAACCCCATCTGCTTGAAAATCTCTTCAAAGAATTGGAAGTTAAAAGAGTCTCCTATGAAGTGATCAGCAAGCATTATACTAATTGCCTACACATGCTTCTCCTCAAGACTCATAGTAGTCTTGACAAGGTCACTAAACTCTCTAATAGCTATCAGTTCAAACTCCTTATCATCAATGCTGTCATCAAACACATAGTCTTAGAATACGTTTCTCAAAGAAAGACCATTCTTTTAGAGATAGAATGCAATCTTAAGGATACCTTCTTCGGCATTCAACTTATTACTATTAGCTTTGAAGTCGTCATCATCATCTGAGTCGATCTTAGGCAAAGGTTAGATTTTCTCTTTTTCTTGCTTAAGTTCATCTTGGTCTTTTGAGTAATCGTCACTTTTATTATCTTGCTCATCATCATCTCTTGACATAATAGTGAAAAGAGATCCTAACTATATTGGCTGCTTGCTTGTAGAGCCAGCTGTACCTTGTTTATTCATTCCTGCGCCAGTACTCTCAGAGGTAGACTTCTTCTTCAGTGAAGATTACCCTTTGAAGTCATGCTTCTATAGATCGTCTATCTACTTTGAACTAGCTTATTCTTGAATGCTAACTCTTTTCTTAGGTTTTTTATTTGGATCTTCAACCTTCAGCTATTAGTTATTTGGATTTTACTCTTGTAAGGACTGTATTCTTTATATTTCTGATTTCAAATCTTCTACTTACTGGATAGCTATCTTTAGCTTATTTTCCTACTCTTCTATTTTCTTGTCCTTACCATCTATAAACTTTTAGAATTTATCTTTATCCTTCTTGAGTTCAGCATTCTCTTGTTCTAACTTAGCTATTTGATGCTTTTAATTGTCAATCAACTATTCTTTGACCTTATCAGAGCTTTTATCCTTTGTGTTTTGACTGCTTTAGAACTTATCTAATTTAGACTTGATATCAGCAAATTGATTCTTTAGATTTTTTTCCAGTTCTAGCATTCTCACTCTTTCCTGATTATTAATGTCTTCGTTTCTTTTGAGGAGCTCATTTTCCTTTTGGAGCTATTAAATAATTAGTTCATATTTTTCAGAAATATGTTAACTGAGCTTTTGATTCATTACTTCTTATTCTTTCTCAATGTCTCTTCTTGGTGACCTATTTTCTTCATCTAACTTGCTTGGAGAAGTGGTTTAACTCTTTACTATTTAACTTTAAAGGTCCTAGATTGATGATCTCAAGTTATTAATACTTAGAGTTTCGATAAGTTTTCGAGTATTGTCCATTTATTCGCTCTGATTTCTTCTAATTGCATCGTTTTCTACTTTCTTGTCAGAAACTAACCGCTTTTATACCTCTAATTAGGCCTTAAGACGTTTAATTAAATCATCTTGCTTTTGAACTCTCAATGTCAAATCTGTAGCTATCCTAGTCTAAGAGTCATTGTTTCTGAAAATAGAGCTTTATCCATTGAATAATGAAACTGAGGAAGGGGAGATAAATCTTTCCTTAGCAGAGTTGATTCTATTTAATTTTCTAGCGCTTGTTTTTTCTTATTGCTAATGCCCATTAGAATCTCCTTGGGTATTTTTAACTTAACTAGTGAGATTGTTATCTATTGTAGATTGTTTCTCAAGTAATTTCTTCTACTGGTAATTAACAATCTAACTAAGTCTCATAGCATGCTCCTTATGAGTTTCTAGTTCTATCTCAAGCTCAGCTATTTTAGTGAATTTGATCTTTTTTCTAGTGTAATCAAGTTCTTAATCCTTCATCTCCATTTGTCCTTGAAGATCTTATATCTATCTTTTCAAGTTCAATGCTAGATTAGGACTGAAAAGTGCAGATTTATTAAAACTTGAACCCATGTTATTAGAAACCACACTGCCATTTGTTGCTTATCTAAGCTACATTTACGATTAGAATAAAGCCTAGTTTAGATTCTCTATGATTTTATCACGTTTTTGTATCTCTGTCTAAAGAAACTGCTTTTGATTCCTCAATATAATGTTATATTCCTTGCAGTCATTGATCTGATCTTTAAGGGTGAGGCATTCCTCTTATAATTACTCCTTCTCATAAAACTATAGTTAACGCTTTTGTGATTTAACCTTGGAGTACTATCCATTAGCTAATGCGGCCTTCTCAAATAAAATCTTTTGATTGTTCTTAACACTTTAAATAGCATTTCTAATTTGAGAGGGGTTTTAAAAAGTTTTACTTCCAGCGATGCCTAAGGCATTTTGCAACATTATATCCTCTGCATTATACTACTCAAGGACTTTACTGGTTTGGGCATGGCCAGAATTAGTAGCATTATTTGGTCTCTTAGCTGACCTAAATGAATGTATATTATAAAATCTAACTAACAAAGAAAATTTTGATTGGTCTAATTATTTTATAAACTATTTTAACTTACATTAATCTTCTTTTGTTGATATGCAAAGCATTGTTACCTCCTGTATAGGCTTTGATCTGCTAAAGATTTTTAACTGAGCCTCTATTCTTAACAACGTAGAATTGATTGGAATCAAGATTGCCGCTACTATGCAGGTTCTTCTGGGATTCGTACTTTCTTAAATCCTTCTAGTTCTCCTAGTCTATCTCATCTTCTTCTTCATCACTATCAATCTGCTCTTAAACAACTAAAACGATCAAATAAGGTTAGAGATAGACAGATAAGCAGTATATTATGAAACAATAAGACTGAAAACATTACTTTTGATTTTATCCTTGATCATGCTCTATTTATCACTTATGCTATTAGTCTAAGTGTATTTTTAAATGGATTAAGTTTACCATCACAGTTTGAGAATTAGTTTATTGATCTCTAGTGTTTAGCCTATTGAAATAAAATATCATTGCTATCAAATATCATACCCTAGATTGGAGCCAGCCCTGTATCTGTTATTCTGCATTTGACTGTCGTATATCTTTTATATCTCAAGATTTAGACTTCCTCCGACTGAGTTTACCTGTTCATCATCCAGATCCTCTTTGAACTACTTTTTCTTGAAGCTTGAAGATAACTCCTGCTGTTAACTCATCATTAATTTATGACTATTATATTAAATTTCATTCTAATCAATCAATTCTTTTTAATCTTATTTTCAGTTAAGATTATCTCTTGGGGTTTTGGGGTTTTGGGGTTTTGGGG